GCTCCAGCCCCTCAAGCTCCTTCTTGTCCTTCCAAATTCGTTTCCAAAAGGCTTTCAAATCACTTCTCAACTCAGAACACTGCAGGGGATGGGTGCTTCTTGTATGAAATCACTTGGCTTTTCTTTATCTTGCTGTGTTGAACTGTTTTTCAGGCTCTGGGAAGAAGTACAAAGTGAAGTTTGACCACAAAGGGAAGAGTTTGCTCTCAGGCAATCACATTGCCTATGACTATCACCCCTCCCCTGAGATCCACTACGTTGGCAGCAGGGTTGTGGCCAAGTACAAGGATGGGAATCAGGTCTGGCTGTATGCTGGCATCGTGGCTGAGACCCCAAATGTGAAGAATAAAGACAGGTATTCACTCATTTTCCTCCCCATCTACTCAACCCCACTCTTGTCTTTCTTTCCTTTCATTGGTTTTGAGGAAAAAAATGTGTATTTGTGGGAGGTGAATGGTTTTACTGCCCTTTCTGAGGGTGCAGCTCTTAAACCTTGGCCTTTCTTCTCTCTCCCAGCTCTGGGTGGAGCTTCAGTTCATGTCCCTGAGTCAAAAATGATCTCTGGTCATTCATATGAAATGATCACCCAAATTCCTCACTGCTCAAGGTGTGAGGAAAGAGGAGCCCTTCTCCTCCTCCTGGCTTAGGCTGGCTGTGGTGCTGAGCTCTCCAAATTGCAGCACAGCTCCAGATCCCAAAGGGATTATCCAGAGATGGGTGCTCAATCCACCCCTGTGGGTCCTGCTCTGCTGAGGACTCTCCCAAGCTCTCTGTAGATGGAGCTCTGGAGGTGTTCCCCAGCTCCCTCCCTCTCACAATGTGCCACCTCTGCTGCTGCTTTGTCCCCCAAGGCTCCAAAAATGCCTTTTCTTGCAGAAATTAGAGCAGTTAAAGTCTTTCCCTGTGGCACAGAGGGCATCTGGAGCTGAGGGAAGAGGCCTGGCTGTGTTGAGAAGCTTTTGGGCAGCCTCTCTTGGTGTTGGGAGCTCAGGGTGGGGAAGGAGGAGTCCTGGAAGACCCTGAGGGAGGTGGTCATACTTCAGAGCTCCTGATCTCCTGGCAGGAGCTGGTTGCTTCATGCTGTGCTTGTCCACCACACCTCTGCTGGGAGGAAAGGCTGAGAGAGTTGTGGTTGTTGAGAGAAGAGAGGGCTCCAGGGAGCCCCTGGGGCCTTTCAGGAGTTCAAGGGACCTGTCACAAAGCTGGGGACAGAGTTTTGGGCAGGGCCTGTTGGGACAGGACAAGGAGGGATGGTTTAAACTCAAAGAGGGAGATTTAGACTGGAGAGAAGGGAGAGATTTTGGATGCTGAGGGTGGTGAGCCCCTGGCCCAGGTTGCCCCAAGAGGTGGTGGGTGTCCTGGAGACCTTCCAGGTGAGGTTGAGGGCTCTGAGCACCCTGCTCTGGTTGGGGATGTCCCTGCAGCAAGGGGGTTGGAGGAGATGACTTTGAAAGGTCAATCCCACCCAAACTAGTCTGGGATTCTAGGATTCTGTGATCTGAGGGCCTTTGGGACTGGCAGGAGAAACAGAGAGGGGGCCACTCCACTTCCACAAGAAGCTGTGGAGCTGCATTTTTCCCTCAGCTGCCCTTTCCCCTCCCCCTTTCCAACGCTGCCTTCCTCCAGGTTCCTCATCTTCTTTGATGACGGCTACGCCTCCTACGTCAAGGAGTGGGAGCTGTACCCTGTCTGCAGGCCACGTGAGTGATCTCTGCCCCTCCCTGGGTCACCAGCCTTGTGTGAAGAGCCTGTGGGTGTGGGACAGAGCCTTGAGGGGACAGGCTGCTTGTCCCCTCCTCTGCCTGGCCTGTAGATGTTGGTGGGTGAAGCTGGGGGAGATGTTGGCTCCCTACAGAGAGAGCGCGTGGTGCTGCCACCCAAAACCCAACTTCTCAGGGTGGCTGCTTGATCCTTCCATAAAAACCTCTCTAAAAGAACAACTCCAGATTCTCCCTCTGTAAGAACCTTTCCTCTTTCTCCCACCCTTCCCTTTTGGAGCAGTGAAGAACTCCTGGGAGGACATCGAGGACGTTTCCTGCCGGGATTTCATCGAGGAGTACATCACAGCCTACCCCAACCGCCCCATGGTGCTGCTGAAGACTGGCCAGCTGATCAAAACAGAATGGGAAGGGACCTGGTGGAAGTCCAGAGTGGAAGAAGTGGATGGCAGCTTGGTCAAAATCCTTTTCCTGGTAGGAGGATTTCTTGCCTCCCATTAGAGGAGGAAGAGGGGATTGAGTTTGGGATGAGGCTGATCGAGTCCGGTTTGATGTCAGCCAGGTCCTGGAAGGAGCAGGTGTTTTAGGTAGTAGGTAGACCACCAGTTTCTCCTTCATGTTGATGTGAAGCTGAGACCCTTGTTCACGTGCCAAAAGCTTCCAAAGCCTTTGAAAACATTCTGCATGTGAAATTTGGAAGTGGTGGATAAATAAGAAAGAAAATCACCTCTCTGTACGCATCCTGTCCTGGTCCCTCTCTTGATGTTAACACCCAAACTGGGTCTTGTGTCCAGATCCAAGGGCTGGTTGGAGGAACTGAGCAGCACCTGAGGTGTTCTCCTTGCTGAGATTTGCTCTCTGGGCCTGCTCAGCTCCCTTCCTGCCTCAATAACAGCCCAGCCATGGGGATAACCTCATCCAAATCACACAATTTGTCAGGTTGGAAGAAACATTTGACCTCCAGGAGTCCCAACACTGCCAGGACCCCACTGAGTCGTGTCCCCCAGCACATCCCCAGGGCTTGGACACCCCTCCAGGGATGGGGGGGGCTCCACCCTGGCTGTGGGTTCTGTGTGTGTTGCCTTCTCCCTGCTGCAGGATGACAAGCGCTGCGAGTGGATCTACCGCGGCTCCACGCGCCTGGAGCCCATGTTCAGCATGAAAACTTCCACGGCCTCCTCCCTGGAGAAGAAGCAAAGTGGCCAAGCAAGGACTCGCCCCAACGTTGGTGGGTGGCTCCTTTATCTTCAACTCATGTCCTGGCCTTGTGGGTTGATGGGGTTGGGGGGTTATTTTGGGATTGGTTTTATTTGGGTGGGTGTATTTTTCAGCCGAACCCTTGGAGATTTGAGATTGGCAGCAGGCTGTAAATCTCTTGGCATTAAAGGTGCCACAAAACCAACTGCAGTTGTGTGAAGTGGCCAAAATCTGTCTGAGGGGACTCGCTGGGATTTGGAGCTCTGCTAATGATCTGCTGTTAATTGCAAATGGCCTCTCTTGTAGTTATCTCTGGGGATTAAATCGATACCTTGTGGCCAGCACAAGGTTTGGTTGACAGCAGGGACTTTTTCATGCTGACATTGCTCTGTCCCCTTCCCCACCAGGTGCTGTGAGGAGCAAGGGGCCTGTAGTACAATACACCCAGGATCTGGCAAGGACTGGAACCCAGTACAGACCATCAGAGCAGACACAGGCAGCCTCCTTGGCCTCCCTTTCTCCCCAGCCTGCTGAGATGGAGTAAGTACTTGAGCCAGTTCTCCCACCACTCCCTCCTCTGCGTCCTCAGCTCTTTGCTCTCTCAGGCACCACCTTTTCTGTGCAGAGGAATCCTCAGGTGCAGGTTTCTTCCAGGACCAGGCATGTTTCCTGCTTACAGAACTCTTTTTTTAGCCACGCTTCTGGGGGAAGCTTTAGGTGAAAAGCTGCTTGGATGAGGAAACTGGGGGCGGGAGAGCTGAGATCCCAGTGCCCCCCACCCCGAGCCAAATGCTGTGGTCTTCCTCAGGGCTAAAGCTTCAGCACTTTTTGATGCATTTCCAGCTTTAGTTTCCCTCCTCCTCTTCTGAAAAATCTGAATTGCTCCCTCGTGTCACGATCCAGGCGCTGGCCCCCGGCTGCCTTGTCCCCCTCCACTTGGACTGACCTGCTGGCAGACCTCCGTGGCTTACAGGGTGCTGGGAACTCAAGAGCAGGGCTTGGTCTCAGTGGTCAAGGACCAAACCTGAGCCAGCTAAACCACAGCCAAGTCACACACGTGCCCCCTGCTGCCAGGGGCCCAAGAGGGACCTTCTCGGAGGTGCAGGCCGGTGCAGAAGGAGGCTTGGATGAAGGAAGAGCTCGGCCTGGGGCTGAAGGGAGCCTGGAGGACATCAGGGTACCTGAGCTGTGGGACTTGAATAACTTTTTAGGGGAGAGAGATGCTGTCCCAGTTCATTTTTGTCACCAGTGTGGATTTCCCATCCGAATTTACGGGCGCCTGGCCCCCTGCCAGCACATCTTCTGCCGTGACTGTGCCCTGCTGCACGGGGAGGAGGGAGGAGGGAGATGTCCCAGCTGTAAGGAACCCGTGCAGCAAGTGAGCCTTTATTCACCAGCTGACCTCGAGGGGTAGCAGCATCTCAGGAAGCCCAGGCTGTGCCCTCAGGAGGGGGGGTTCC